TACTTACTTATATATATATATATATATATATATATACTACACACACACACACACACACACACACACACACCCCTGACTAAACTTAGCAGCTCCTGAGGCCCTGGACGCTGTCACTCTGGGGACACCACTGCTATGAGGGCTAACCCCTGCACTGGCCACGAGGGCTGACTGCCCCCTGCCACCCCTGCTCCAAAGCCTTGGGGACAGTTGCTCGGGTGCTCCCCGGGGCCAGCTGCCCCGGGACCACTGCTCGGGTGCTCCCCGGGGCCAGCTGCCCAAGGAGTGGCTGGTGTGGCTGCCCCCGGGACAGCTCCAGCTGCATCCAGTGCGGCTGACCGTGGGGCACCCGACCAGCTGGCCCTGGGGCTAGCTGCTCTGGGATCAGCCACACCAACCACTGCACTGCGAAAGTCACAGAGATCACGGAACCGTAACTTCCACGACTTCCGTTTCAGAAGCACAGCTTTAATTGTGACCCCTCAGGGGGCTGCAAGGTTATTACGTGGGGGTTATGAGCTGTCAGCCTCGATTCTCAAACCCCACTTTGCCTCCAGCATTTATAATAATATTAAATATAAAAAATGTGTTTTTATTTTTAATATGAGGGGGGGGTCGCACTGATAAGCTTGCTGTGTGAAAGGGGTCACCAATACAAAAGAACCACTGCTCTAACACATTCCAAACTCATTCTCTTTTTTCCTTGTGTGTATTGTAGACATCTACAACATGGCAACATATTAAAAAAATGTAAATGTAACGAGAACTAACTTGTCTAGATAAAAAGCCTGCAAAGGAAACTTTAAACTAGAAAACAGAATCATAGAATATCAGGGTTAGAAGGGACCTCAGGAGGTCATCTAGTCCGTACCCCTTGCTCAAAGCAGGACCAATCCCCAAACAGATTTTTGCCCCAGATCCCTAAATGGCCCCCTCAGAGATTTAACTCACAACCCTGGGTTTAACAGGCCAATGCTCAAACCACTGATCGATTCCTCCCACAAACAATGCATAGCTTAACATAAACCCTACCCAGCAATTTGGGTGCAGTATAAAAATTAGTATGTATATTGGAACACAGTCTTATATGTAATATCAGCCTGCAAAATAGTCATGAAAATTTACCAGTTAGGTATGAAATCTATTTCCCTCACCTTCATTTACCATAACAAAATTAAAAAAAAAAATGTATTGCCCATCCAAATAAAAAAATTGCCCACCTGGGCAAGAAGTACTAAAAATTATTTTTTAGGTCTACATATAGTTCCTGAATATTTTAAATACATATGACAACTAAAGAAATAATAAAACTTCAGACCATGACAGAGCACAGTGTAAACAAGAAGGCTGTATGCATATGCACAAAAGAAGACAGGCATGTTCATGAGACAATCCACAATTACAGATGGGACTGAATGTGAGAGTACCAGAAAGACATATAAATGCACACATGGAAATAACTGAAAGGAGTGTGCATGCTAAACACTGTCAGGGCATGTGCCAAAGCACCAGAAAGACAGAGGTGTGTGCTAACTACTGGCAGGACCTGCTCATAAACACCACAAAGACAAGTCATCAGTGTGTGGTCAGAGCACTGGCAAGGGTGTGTGATGGGTACTAGCAATGGTGCATACATGTGCATCCCAGACAGCAGTGTGCGCGCTGAATAGCGGCAGCACATGAAACGAACTGCGAGTGCACTGCAGCCACAGACGGGAGTGCGCGCGCAGAGGGCTGGCGCACACACTGCCGCAGTAATAGATGGACAGCGCAAAGGGGACCTGTGCGCAGCTCTCGGCCCTGGATCCCGGCACGCTAGGAGCAGACAGCAGAAATTCAGAACGGGAACTGCAGCCCCAGCTCCCGAGCGTGCAGGCGCGGGACGCACTATCCGCGGGGCTGTACCAGGGCGCCAGCGCCCCCTGCCGTGTGCCTGTGGGGGGAGGGGTGCGAGAGCAAAGCCGTGAAGACAAAGGAGCTCGTGATGAGTCAGGGCTGCAGCTCGGCAGGCACCGCACCTCCACAGCCACACTCCCCCTTGCGCCGCAGGGGACGCGGCAGCGCTCCCCAGGCCCGTGCCGAGCCCCACACTCCCAGGCCGTCAGGCCCACTCCTCCCCTGCGGCGCCGAGAGGCTCAGAGCCCAGGCAGCTGCGGCACCGGAGCCGTCGCCACTCAGCCCCCAGTCCAAGGTGCGGGGAGGATGGGCAGGCAGAGCCCAGCCCGGGGCGCGCGCGAGCGAAGCCTCTCCCGCCCCGGCCGCCGACATCTTGTTTTCCGCCATTTTATGGCCGCCCGAGAGGCCGCTCGGCCGCGGGATCCGGGCCCTGCGCCGGCCCAGCTGAGGAACAGCCGCCGGCGGGCGGAGCCCACACGCCTAGAGCAGGGAGGCGGCGGCCAAGCCCGGCGGCGGTAACGAAGCGGGCAGGCCCCGGGCGCGGCCTGCGCTGAGGCCTAACCGCCTCCATTGTTCCCAGCCCCCGCCGGCCCAGCTCTAGCACCTCCGCTCACCTGTGCGGGTCCCTGCGCCGTGCCGCGGGGTCGGATCCGGCTGAGGGTCGGGCGGGCCGCAGGACTCCGCCGCCGCCGGGGCCTTGCATTCGGGGCCGCCAGGTCCGGGGCCTGCACCAATCACAGGCGCTGGGCTAGGAAACGGGGCGCGAGCGCGCGCGGCCTTCACCCCCTCCCCCCACCGGCTTCGCGACCAGCCCTGCCGCTGTTGACGCACGTCACTGGGAGCCGGAGCGTGCCCCAGAGATGTGAGCATGCGCAGGAACCGCAGCTGAAGTCGGTGCCCTTACTTTGCTCTCAAACGTGCCCCGAGAGCAAAGCGGGGGGGGATGGAAGCCGCGGGGGAGAAAGGCTAGTTGGGGCGCAGGGGGGATGGGTCCGGCAGAGAGAGGATAAATGGGAGAAGCCGAAAAAGGGGCGAGAGCGGGGGACAGTGAAAGGGCCAATGCAGAGCAGGCTTGTGATTGCGGGTGCATAGTGTGGCCCTGTGCTGCCCCCCACAGGGATGTGGCATTAACGCTACAGCCATACACACACGCAGGGGTATCAAAGATGCATTTTTATGGCCTGGTGGCTGCATGCACATGCTGCAGCATCTCAGCTTTTGTTAGGTAACTCAAGTTTCCAAATCTCTGTCATGTTTGCATTGATAAGCTTACAAATGGGAGTCCATGTGTGACTTCACTGATGTCCGCTTGACAATGTAGACAACGTGAAATAGTGGCTCAGAGTCTGTGTGAACTTCCCTGATCCTTATTATTTTAACATAGTGTTATCTCTAACCCCCAGTAATGGCACTTCCTTGTCAACACAAAGTAGCCTTTTGCTGATCATTTTAGCAAATGGAACAAAAAATGTGATAGAAGCAAAGCACACATGTAAGTGGTGTAAAGAAGGAAATACAGATAAAAGCACAAAGGTAAACTTAAAGAGAAAGGAGAATATGGAAGAGAAACAAAGGGCAAAATTAGTGATAGGCCTAAAGCGGAACATATTTTCTCACTGATACTGAATGAGACAAAAAGAACAGGAGTACTTGTGGCACTTTTGAGACTAACAAATTTATTTGAGCATAAGCTTTCGTGGGCTAAAGCCCCCTGAATTAGACAATAAGGCACTGAACAAATAATTAAATTTTAATAATAGAAAGTGCCATATTCTCCCATTACCAGCAGTTCTGATTTGCATCCAGCTCGTGTAGACATATTCGCACTAACTCAATGAAAGCTAGCACGGGTATGAATAGTAGTGTAGCCTCTATAGCCCAGGCAGCAGTGGCACAGGGTAGATGCCCCATTACACACGCTCCCGAACCCTATCGGAACATACGCCACCTTGGTGACGCTGCTATTTTTATTCACACTAGCTCTCATCAAGCTAGTGCAAGTATGTGTATGCATGCTGGGAATCATCCTTAACTCATAGGGTAAACGTAGCCATAGTTCATGTACACATTCTTATTCCAATATAGGAGTTCCTCTTTTCAGTTATGTCATTTACGAAGGGTTTTAAACAAAATAAAAAAAACAGCCACTCATAACTATGCTGGTAAAACTATCGAGTGTAGATAAGTCTTTAGGATTAGTCCAGTGTTTCCCAAACTGTGTTCCACACGATGTGAAGAGGTGTTCCGTGAAAGAATCGTAATTAAAAAAAAAATGGGTCCTTAAAATTTTAAATTTGGCATATTTGAAGCATAAATTACAGTCATTCAAAAAGTTGTAAACTAACATAAAACTCTTTTTCCAGTTATTGATAGATCTCGTATTGAATGTCATGGCGTAAAAAGAACGTGGCACGCAAGCATGTTGATGTCTACCCCTTTCGGGCACATTTCAGTTAGTGACGTCGAACCCCTTCCGCTCGAGGCTGTGCGAACTGCAGCGGTATGCACACACCATTCTCTTTACGCCATGGTGAATATAACATATTCACTCAACACGTTCAAACCTGTGGGTTTTTACTGTGTGTGCGATAAGCACAACTAAACTAGCTTTACTCAAAACAATATAAATATTTGTGACAAAATTTGACAAAAATCAGTATTTCTAAATATTACTACTAAACCTAATCACCATGGATTTGTGGCTAAAATAAGGAACTTTGAAACAAAAAGCAAGTTCTTTTGGTACTCCAACTGTGGCCGAAATAAACTAGCAAAATATTGTGACACTTCAAAGTGAGGATGAACAATCGCAGTCTTTAGTTGCCGAAAAATCTGTTAGTACTAGTTAGTTATCCAAGGTGAAAGAATTTCCACCGAAGTATATCAAAAAACAAGAAGAAGCAGGTGTTAAAAGACCAAAACGAAAGTATGATGAAAGTTATTTGTCTTTTGGTTTTACATGTGTTGGAAATAAAGATGTTCCTGATGCGCAGTGCGTCGTGTGCAACAAAATACTAGCAAACAGTTCATTGGCTTCTGCTAAACTTCAAGGGCATTTGGAAACCAAGCATGCTGAATACAAAGACAAAGATATAAGTTTTTTCAAGAGGCAGCGTGACTCACTTGGAAATTGTAAACTTTCGATGATTAAAATTGCTAAAACAGACAACGAAAGTGCAGAGGCATCTTATCGAGTAAGTTACTGTATAGCGCTTGCCAGAGAAGCTCACACTATTGGAGAAACGCTTAACAAGCCTTGCGCGAAAGATACTGTAACATGCATGTTGAGCGAGCAGTCTGGTAAAAAAAATTGATGCTGTACAGTTGTCAAATAATACTGTTGCATGTCGTATTAAAGATCTTGCTGATGACATAGAAAAAGAGCTAGTTGCCGACTGAAAATTTGCCATGAGTATTCATTGAAGCTAGATGAGTCTACTGATGTTTCAGGACTTGCTGTGCTACTAGTATTTGTCCAATATAGATTTAATAATATTATTGAAGAAGACCTGCTCTTATGTGAATCTCTGCAAAGCAATACAACTGAAGAAGAAATATTCAACTGCATCAACTATTTTATCAGAAAGCATGAAATTAGTTGGGGAAAATGTATTGATGTATGTTGTACTGATGGTGCTCAGGCAATGATCGGGAAGATGACGGGAGCTGTAACGCGAATCATAAGTGTGGCATCAGAAAGCACTGAGAGCTATTATGTTCTACACAGACAAGCACTTGCAGTGAAAAACAACACACCTCTACCCCGATATAACGTGACCTGATATAACACGAATTTGGATATAACGTGGTAAAGCAGTGCTCCGGGGGGGAGGGAAGGGCTGCACACTCCGGTGGATCAAAGCAAGTTTCACCTATAACGCAGTAAGATTTTTTGGCTCCCGAGGACAGCGTTATATCGAGGTAGAGGTGTACTAGCATATCTGAAAATTGTGCTCGATGAAGCAGTACAAATTATCAATTTTGTCAAATCTTGACAACTTCAATCCAGGTTATTTAAAATTTTGTGCAAGGAAATGGGTAGTCAGCACAAAGCGCTTCTTTTACATATGGAAGTGAGGTGGCTATCCAGAGGAAAAGTGCTTGTGAGGCTTTTTGAGCTTCGTAGTGAACTACTTCACTTCAGATAATTCAGGATGAAAATTTAATGACTGTCTGACAAATTCCTCGTGGCTAATGAGTCTTGCGTATCTTGCAGATATTTTTGCAAAATTAAATGAAATTAATCTGTCGCTGCAAGGAAAGAATGTGACTATTTTTACTACAATGGATAAAATTTCGTCGTTAAAAAAGAAACTGCAATTCTGGGCATCTTCTGTAGAACTTCGACTGCTTCCCTACAGTACATGAATTTCTGACTGAAATAAATTCTACAGTCCATGAAGAAGTTTCCAGCACCATTTTACAGCACTTACATGACTTGCAGGCCTCTTTATTAGAATATTTTCCTACAACTACTGATGATAATGCTTGGGTTCAAAATCTGTTTGTAATTACAGCCAAACCAGTCGGCTTTACTGCACACAATTATGAAAGCCTAATTGACTTAATTTCTGACTCTGATTTGAAATAAAAGTTTAAGGATCTTCCGCTGAATAATTTTTGGAGGAGCTGAATAGAAGAGTACCCTAATGTGGCTAAATCTGCAGTTCGAGTGCTCCTTCCTTTTGCTACAACTTATTTGCGTGAGACGGAATTTTCGTATTATACTACAACAAAAACCAAATATAGGAATAGACTTGATGCTGCGCCTGACATGAGGATTCAACTTTCCAGCATTATTCCTAATATTAAGCGAATTTGTGATAGAAAAACGCAGAAACACCAATCCCATTAAATCCAAATTTGTATTTCTGTTTATAAAAATAGATTTTCCTAGTAAAAATCTAATTTGTTTGGTGTTTGTGTATATATAAAAACAGTTTGTTTTTTAAGTAAAACACTTTTTTATTTTGACTCTTGCGCTTGAGTTTTGTACTACTTTATACACGCTTTCTAGTTAAAAATTGTTAGTTCAAATTATTTTAAATTTGTATTTTTGCTTTGTTTTATAAAATAAAATATATTTGAGTATAAATAACAATTTTTTATTTGAAAACCAAATGACTACAAAATAATATTGTAAGTGTTCCGTAATAGGCTAAAAAGTGTTCCGTGTCCGAAAAAGTTTGGGAAATGCTGGATTAGTCTATACACAGTTTTTTGCACTGATTTAACAAAAGTGGTTTAGAACCAATTCACTTAATTGGAACAACCCTTTTTGTGTGGACACTTTTAAATTGGTTTATACAACAGATTATATTGCAATATGGAATATTCAAAGGCTATTGTATCAATTTTATAAATGTTGTATGTATCATTATAGGCTAGGGCTTGTATTCTGGGTCCATGAGGGACTTACAAGTGTTTCCAGAAGGAACTAAAATCACTGAGAGCAGGGGATGGAGGGATTATCAATGTGAATCCCTAAGCAGGCAGCAAGTCTGAAGGAGTCTTAGCTCCTGGAGGAAATTGCATGTATTTATTTAACCTGATTCAAGAAATCTGAAGCCCAAAGAACTGAAAACTGTATAAAAGTGACTAGCCTGACATAGGAAGGGAGCTCACACTCACTCAAGAACTGACATGAAACTGACCAAGAGACATAGACCCTGTAGAAAGGTCCTTTGTGCCTATCAGGATCTCCATGTGGAAGATAAATGACTGCCTGGTAAGCTAAGGCCTGCATGTAAGTTCT